ACTTATCTTCGCTCACTTGTTTGCTTGTCAGCCAATCAGGTGACAGAACTGTTTTCTTCTCTCTACCCCACTTTGAACTCACGCGTACTAGCCCCAAGGTTAAGCCGTCCAGCCTATCGCGTCAAGGTTTTAATCTAAATTAGAAAGGATCCCCGGCACCAAAAGTGGGCAGACAGATCAAGGATGTATCAGGTATTCTTGTTAAGTTTGAGATAAATAGTGAAAAATCGGTACATGAAAATTAGTTTATAACAAATAATTTTGTTTACATAAAGTTAGTTATTAATGAAGTACATTATTATGTTATTGGGTTGTGACTAACAGGGGAATCCAAAGAAGTCAATCGAGAAAGAAGGTCAGTCATAATGAATTTATAATCAATAACAGTACGACTATGAATAATTAGATCTCATTTAAACTGAATAAGTTGTGCTTCATTTATGGAAGATTTCTACTAGTTCGATTCTTTTTGGAATAAACGTTAACCGAGTCAATTCGACAGAAAGACAAAATCTGAGTCTTAAACTGTACAGTTCAAAAAACAAAACACTTTAAATCTTTCAATTTTTAAGTGTCATTATGCGATAGTTCAACTGTTAGTAATATTATGAGACCCTGGGTATGAAGAGCAGTTATTAAACTCATCTTATAACACCTCTTGAAATGTAATATTAAATTATACTATATTGTCAAAGTTAACAGCTCTTTATGCGATAACATATGAAGATAATGAGTGTGTTTGTAGGCAACGATTAGGACATTAAAACTACAGCTTTTGATGAGAATTACTGAACTTTCAGGTCAATCACATATGATAGCAATGCATTTTATATCAGAAAGTAAACCAGAGTTTTTGGGGAGCCCCAAAATATTCATCAAAATCTCTAGAAGCCAAGGAAACTCCAGAATATTTTCTATTCAATCAACATAGAATAGAAGCTTCTAAGGAATATCTAGGATAATGAAAGATTACTGGCCACTTTTTCATTAGGTGGTTACCCATGCCGCTATTATACTTGGAATGTTTCTAGAAAGTTCTGAGGACTGAAGTTTCATAAGACTCCATAAATACACTCGATTTTTTGTACATAAACTAGCCTTGGATTACAACACTTACTCATATTTCGCTCCTTCTACTCTGTTGTTTGAGCTAACGTATCGAAGTAATCTGGGGTCATAGGAAGTTGCTAAAAAGTCAGTATGCTTGAAAATATTTAATTTCTATAGTCTACAATTTGACTTGGTCACTGTTCAACTTCAATGTTCTAAGATCTAGTGTTACATGTATTACGATTTCATAATATTGAATAACAATACTACTACTACTACTACTACTACTACTACTACTACTACTACTACTACTACTACTACTACTACTACTACTACTACTACTACTAACAATAATAATAATAATAATAATAATAATAATAATAATACAAAACACAAGTTATAATTAAAAGAATATTACCTTGCAATTGACTTTCCATAAGATTTTTAAGCTTATTTTGTGTAGGTATTGTAGCTTTTAATATAATTAGTCACCAAGGAAGTATTACAAAAATTTGAGGAAATAAAGTAACTATGAAGTTGGAAGATTTACAAATCGGATCATTCAGTAGACACTATTTAAGAGTACTATTTTTGTTAAGAAAAAGGTCATATATATATCTGATCGATACACATTTATTTTCTTTGAAATACCCTCATTAAGTCTAATGGAAATCCATTAATTCTGATGAAATCGTGTACATTCCGATCCTAATACAAGATAGATTTTATCACAAACGGATTCACATGAAAACTATGGAAAAGCTAAGATGAACCGGATAGCTGTTCTGTCTCACTTTCCGACTTCTCAGTAATTCTTATCAATCATCCGTAGTTTACGATACTTTTATAAGATTACATCAGTTTAGGATTAAAACTATCTTCTAGTAAAGCATATCACTTCACTCGAAACTTTATTGTATTTCAACGAATATTCGAGGTCATTCAAAACACTCATCATGAAACTTCGGTTATAATACACAGTGTGGAAAAGTTTTTACTTACAACAACAATTTATTCTGAGTGCACTTTTAAGGCAAACTATCTCCTTTCTTCTCGATTTTGTTTGTAAATTAGAAATTAAACTATAAGCCAGTGGTTGCCCTGATTTCTGGAAACCACTGGGTATCGATAAAAAGTGATGGATACCGGTTTAGTTGGTATATGTATAAATATAGACCAATATTGTTAATCAAGTGAGTGACCTTGAGATAGTTAATATTGTTGCAAAACTAAAATTTATCAGCTAGTTCAATGAATAGACGGAATAAGTTCATAAAAACTTTATTTCACAAAATTTCTATACATACATCTCATTCTCTTTCAAAATAATCTCCATTTGAGGCACGGCATCTAGTATATCTCTTGAAGTCCTTAAAAACCAGAGTCTTTAGCTTCTTTAGTGTTTTATCTTTTACTAGAATCCGGTGAACACACAGTATTTACAAATTCCAAAACTGCCCGAATAATGGAATGATGATAGAAGAGGACAAAAGATCACATAAATTCGATGCTTTCATCAAAGGAGGTGGTTGACGTTACTCTTAACCTTTTAGAATCCTTTCAGTCTTCACTGCGGTCAATGAAGTATATAATACATGTGAAAAAGCAATTTTATCCAATATGTTATATACCAGAATTATATGTTTACACTTTTTTTGAATATCCTGATAGATTTTCTCATCAATTCCCACAAATTACATTGTGGCAAATTCAAATCATTATTTCAGTATGTATGGTAATCTGGTAAATATTCACCGTTTTAATATTTGTTTAGCATCAAATTTGTTTTAGGTTATAATCATTTAAACTCAATTCATAGTAACATGAAAAGCGATTTAATGTAAAGGGTGGTATTCTACCATAAATATATTCTTCGCCAACTCAAACTATGCTTTTTTGTTTTCATAGTTTGAAGGTTTATCACGAATATTAGAAGAGATATTACTGAAGTGTAATTTAGGTCATAGTTACTCAGAAAAGTCATGATCATGTTCCGTTAAGTTTTCTGTGCCGTTATTCTAAACTTTTTAGACATCCTACAACTAAGAGCAGATAATACTGGTAGCGACTAGGGTAATTTACAAATTTCAATTTGAACCATGACAAATCCTCTTCTGGTCACGCATTTATCTTTTTCCTTATAATAAATAAAACTAGAGGCTGTATGTGCACGTTTGGAAATTTTACAATCATTTGTAGTTATTTTTTGGCATAGAATGATACACCCACCTATTTGGACTGTCAGTAATTGTATTGACATCATTACAACATCATAAGATCATTTTTAAAGTATGCATTTTCAACTGATCAAATTTATACATTTTAGTTACTATAAGAAAGGAATAAACTTGCGTCGGTTGACCTTGAATTAAGAAATTGATTTTCACTGAGATTAAAAGAGCAATTTTGATAAGGAACTGAAGTCAATTAGAGAATTATTGAAAAAAGCAATAAGTGGTAGACTTCTATTTCGTTCTAGTTTGAGACTATTTAGTATTGCAGACCTACGAACTACAAAGATCTTGACGTTACTTGACTAGCATGTTACTATTATTTGATCGCTAATATGGGATTTAGTGGAACATAATTACAAATTTAGGCTTACTGATATTAGTAGAGTATATTAAGAACTGGAACACTGACTAATAAAATAAGAATGAACCAATCAGCGAAAATGAATCGTAGGATTCTGCTGTGATCTTATTTTATAGATTATTTATTTATTATTTATTTTAACACATAGGTATAGGTACAAGGAGGCACCAAGTACATATGCGCCATACGAATCTCAATTGATTTGTGTGAGGGCTGTGATACTGCCCGGGTGCCCAAACCGAAGCAGGTGGTTTTCTTAGGGGGCCACACCCCGAGCCTTCGACCTGAACGTCTAACCCACAAGGCAGTGGAGCGTCGTGAGATGCAGTCCCATGATAGCCGGTGACCAACGATTGGTTCATACGCCATTTGATCCTTTAGGATACTGGAGCCCATGTGCACCATTGATTTGGGATCCGGTTAAAGCGCCGGAAATTCGCTTTTCATCCTCTCATTTTCGTCAACAACACCCCCGCCACGAGAAGGCAGTGAGTAGGACTTCCCTGGCAGAGGCTATATACGCGTGGCCATGTGAGAGCATTTCGAGCGGGAGATCGGACTCTCCCCACTCTCGGCCGTACCAGGGCATTTGGGGGCAATATTTTGTAGATATCCATATTTAAACAACAAAATCTATGACATCAATAATAACTTTAAAAATGTGACAATTAAATGTGTAGGATGAACATTATGAACAAAAATAAGCACTCCAAGATTATTCTTTTGTAATCAAGAGTATGACTTTAAAAATATGTGAACTTTAAGTAAATATCCTAATTAAATTTCAATTTGTTTTGCACAAGTAGTGTTAGATACATACGATCTGTTGATCACAGAGTTGGATGTTGTTAGGTTCTCTCTTCAGTTTCAAATATCTACACATCATTGGTGTACAGTGTTAACGAAAAGAAACTTAATATTGTATTTAAAAAGTGATTGCATATTGTATTCATTCTTAGAGCATGAAAGTCCTGGATATAGTTGCATGTGGTTTGAAAGGTATTTACAATGAAGCAGTCTATTAGTTGAATATGATAATTATTTACTGCATTTTGACTTTCAGACTATCTTAAACGGATAACAGTTCATAATTGTAAAAAGCTAATTTATGAATGGCTCAGTGTTAATGCCTGTGACTCGCACTATATGATATGAATTTAGATTTTGCGGGTAACATTATTTCTTTTAAGATTGCTAATTGATCGATAGAATTCGGTCAGTACTAGGATCTAGACGAGCTTGACAACGATCATTACTCAGTAACGAATCAATGTAAATATAATGCATAAAACAATGTTAACCATAGTAGTAATGTTAATAAAATAATACCCATGTTGATAAAGATTTCAACTAACTTCAACCTTTAACCTGTTCAGATCATAATGTTTGACTAATCGAATGCTTGCCATTAAATTGGATACTGTATTCTCTAATACTATGAATATCGCACAATTCTTCATGATGATTCATAATTAATCTACAGAATCTATGAACAATCAATCAATTTATATACAGATTTGCTGATAAATAATTTAACTCGAATGGGTGTAACTTTCCCTGAATTATTTCAGATTATTCATATACACACAATATAAACACTACCAGTAATTCGATATTCAAATAAACAAAAATTCTTCCCGGAAGTACAGTTCCTTGATATACATGTTTGTTTATAATAGCTAGGGTAAATACTTGATTGGTTAATTAGGACTGCCATTATTCTGTTGCTTCAGGTTAATTATTTTATGTATGTATACATAACTATATTCCTTTCTACAGAGTATGAGAATTAAGTAGGCTTTCTAAGTGGTGTAATTATATATCAATAAAAACAATAATGTTAAGAATAATACATGGGGGTTATACTATTATTGATTTCTGTCACGCATTATGTAATCTAAGCGAAGAGTAGTAAGGAATGTATATTCTTAAAGAAATTATCCATTATACAAGTACATAATAGCATTCAAAAAAATAAATGCGGGATTACGCACTCTAAATATAGTAATTTAATATAATGAGTTGTAGTTATATTCAAATTACATGTAGACTAATACATAATGAATGAACTTCATGTCACTTAATACTTACTAAAAGAGTAGGACGAACATATAATCTAAAAACAGTATGTATCCACACACACAGATATACACATGTTCAATTGAGTTATGAATAAACAGGGTTTCATTTGAAATTATAGAAAAAATTTGTGAGTTAGCGGGGTGATCTTTTATGAAGTTTTCTCTATATTAGACAGTTTAGTCATCAAGTTTTAATTTTCTTTTTAAACAAAGTCAACAAGTCAAAATCTTTAATGTTAAAAAGATTAGCAACAATAATGATACAGGGGCTTAATCTGACATCGGGTAAATGATACGAGCTAGTGATTGGCTAGTATTTGGCTTTCTTTCTTAGGAAATAAATACGATGCAATGTTCTCAACTTTTTCTAGGCTAGGCCATTTATCTTCTTCCTCCCACAAGAATTTCGGCCCTTGTAACCACTCCTTTATCTTAGCCTTATCATTTAGTGATAGTCCACGCGACGCGTGATCACGTATCTCCATTGGTTCGGCGTAGATAACTCATGTATAGTTTCTAACCTGTTACTCACGAACCTTTCAAACCTTTTAGTCGTATTTTTTATGCAATGAAGCACAATTAACGAATCCGTCCATTATATGATTGACGAAATGGGGACAATTAACTGTTCCTTCACATGCTTTCCAATCTTAGCACACAGAACACAAACCGTTAATCCCATTCTGGGTATAGTAACGAGTTTTAGAGGAGCAACTCTAGACTTAGCTAGCAGGAACGAGCAATGAATCTGACCAGAAACACCTTCATAACGAATATACGTAACAACACCATACGCAAGCTCGGAAGCATCGACAAAACAATGAATTTGCGCAGATGATGGTTCAAACCTTGGTTTCAGACATCTTGGTATTCTTAAGTGGTCTTACCCTTTTATATGTCTACACCAAATATTCCACTTTGCTTGACAATCTATGGGTAACTCCGTATCCCAATCTAATTTCTACCGACAGGTATCTTGTAAGATCACTTTAGCTGGTAGTATTATTGGGGCTACAAACCCAATTGGATCAAAGATAGATGCTACATACGACAAAATATTTCTCCTGGTTGGGTTTCCATGAAATTCATGTACTTTGAAACATAATTCTTCTGTTCGGACGTTCCATTCTATTCCCAGAGTTCGTTTACTCATCTCATTGGACTCGCAGACAGTAATGTTTCCTTTAGTACGGTCTTCCTCTGGAATGAACTCCGACACTTCAATATTATTACTAATCCATTTAGTTAAGTTAAATCCTCCCAAACTTAGGAGTCTTTTGAAGTGTGAATATGTCCGTTTGGCTTCTTCTATAGTATCCACACTTATCAATAAATCGTCTAAATAGAACTGTTCTTTAGCCGCTTGCGTAATAATCCTGGGAAATTTATCTTGACTGTCGGAAATCGTTTTCTGCAAAGCGAACGTGGCGCAACATGGCGATGAAGTTGCCACGAACAGATGGACTTTCATCCTATAAATCTCGGGCTCTTTTTCCAAGTCTCCACCTGGCCACCACAAATATCTAAGAACATCTTGATCACATGGCGGAACTATTACTATATGGAACATGGCTTCAATGTCCGCCGTAAGACCTACTGGTCGTTGCCGAAACCTTGTGAAAACATATACTAGATTATTGACTAAATCGGGCCCAGAATAAAGACTCGTTTAAGGAAGTTCCAGCATACTGAGCTGCACAATCGAACACTATTCTTAACTTGTTAAGGCTTCTTAACTTCATCGCATTTCGTTAAGCGATTCTTTTAGAAATAACTTCTAGAGATTATTCGTAATTTCACATTTATGGGTTTTTCGTCATGTATTGGCATCAATCGAGATCATGGGAGAACTGAACATCTGTATCATTCTGGTTTGAGACTCATCAGATGTACCTAAGACTGAATCCGAGATCTTGTGGAAAACATTATCCTCAGACTTCTGAGTTAATATCAAATGGTTTAACCTTAACTAACCAATACGCGACATGACGTAACTACAACCCCGAGTCATTGGTGATTCGGATGAACTGCACCGACAACTTTCCATAGGAACGTCGTCAAATGAACTAGAGGTTAGTTACTAGCAAACACGTGATTATGATTCGCTCATCAACTGGAGTTGAGAATTAAAACAAAATGGCAGTTCAAAAAGGTTTTCATTACTGAAAAGTGAACCATTACGTTAGCCACTTAATGTAATAAAACCACAAGCATAAGGATTACTCACAATAACACATGTATTTAACAATTAACAGTTTAGTGAAATGGATTACAAACGTTTTGCGTACAACTCCCAACATAGTCCTGTGTTCAGCATTTTAGTAGTTTCAAAGAAAAAAGTTCAGGAAATATGAGTGAAGCAAAATTAGAGAAATGGCGAAAATGGATGCACAACCGCCCGAAAACACAAAATAGGAATGGAAAGTTTGAAAAGGACAATGCTTGGGGACAAAATAGAAGATATATACAGACAGGCAGCAGTAAAAACCAAGAAAGGTATTCCTTTTGTTGAACACACAGAAGATAAGAAAGACAAGGTAGAAGCCAAAAACAGATGAACTCAGTATAACAAAGACTAAGTAAAACGACTAAAATGAGAAATAGAGTGGAACCAAACAATACTATTTAAAGATCACAGACATGCCACAAAAGTTCGGAAATTCAAAATTAATGGTAACGCGGAAGACCAAAAGAAGGTAGTGCAATGGACAAATACATAGAAAAGGCAAATAGGTACAGAGGTACCGAAAGACAAAGGCAAAGTAATAAGTTACACAGTCACACCAGGAAAAATTGAGAATCTGATTGGTGAAAAAATGAAGGCTAAACTCAGACCGATTGAAAGGTTAGCTCAAACAATTCATTACAATGATATTGAGAGCTAACCCAAAATGAAAAAAAAACTAGGAAGACATACTAACATGATCAAAAAACAGGTGAGATAAAATCAAACAATCATGGATAAATAAATAAATAGGAATAGGCAAACAGCCAAGGCAACCATAAAGTTTTATACAGACATACAAAATGAATCTAAGGAAAATCCTGAAGAATTAGCAACGCAACAGACGGGGACCTTGGAGCAAAATCTTGGATGGATAAAATGTGAAACAAAAACGAATGAGCTAACGAAATAAAGATTTTTGTTTTAATGGTTGAGAACTAAGAGGAATGAAACAGTAGAGCAACAACCGCATAAACGGCTTTAATTAAATGCAAAACAGAAGGGGCGGTTGTTAGATCATTCTACTAGGTTGGCTATCGAAGGCAAGAATTTATGAAAATATGAATGTAAGACCTGTTACGGATTGTGAGAAAAGAAAGCATTGTGAAAGGTAATAAACAAGCGGAATTCCATTGAAGGTCGGAGCATATCAAAATAATTTGAGCCATAGGTAATGTATAAACTACGGATGATAAAATGAAAGTCAAAATATTAATTGTGACACGCACTGATGTGATTAATACGAAGGAAATAACCTAAGTGATTTAAAGACCAAAATCTTACTTCCATAAACCATTACAACATAGTGGCTACGGTTATTAACTAAAAATCGAACCCTCTAGTAGCATCAGTGTTACACTGATCAGCGTCAAACTGGAAAGTAGCTGGGACTTGTGGTACCGAGATAAAATCACCCAAATGTTCATCTTCAGCAACCCCAGTTGTATTTGGATCGTCAATCATCTGTAAATAGTAAAAAATTACAAGTATCAAAGTTGGTGAATTCATAATGAAATAGATGGATTTTCTGAAAACAGAGCTCACCAGTTATTTTTCAGAATGAGAAGTCGTAACCATGGATTACTAAATATTTCGGCTATCCCGATCAACAATCGATTGATTCATGATTTCGAAAGCGTGAATCATAAGTTCAAGTAAACTCAATGAAACTTAGGAAAGTCGTTTAAATCTACGGAGATTGTTACGAAAACTCCAGGTTAGAGATTGAAGGCCAACATTCTATCTACCTCGGTCGAAAAATACAAAATAACACCAGTTACCTGAGAGTCAAATATTTTTAAAAAGAACTCTGTTAATAATAGCTTCTAGGTGTTCAGGAGTAAGACATTTTATTACTGCTTATTCATATGTTTAACAAAGTTAAGATAAGTGTCTTTTCATTAACCTAAGCCCCGTACACGACTCCTGAAGTTTAACCTACAACCAATGAGCTAATGTTTATAACTTTCTAGACACGACTATTTATGTTATTTAAGTTATCTTTTAATATTGATTTATTATAATATTAATATTATGTTTTTCGGTGAATAAAATTACAAAAAAGTTTGACAATAAATCAAGTCATTTCTTGTATAGATACACTATCTATACTAATCATAGAGCTTGAGGGCATATTTATCCCAAAAATAAAACTTACCCCTTCGTTAAAATATCGTTCGATTATGTCATATGCTAAACGATATATATCGATATTTGTATGTTCTTGAAGGGATTCGATAAGATCCAACCCACCACATTCTTCGATTGCAGTTGTAACCTGCTCCAAGTTATCTCCAGCTGCTGCCAATATATTTGATATTCCATCCAAAACAACTTGAGCGACCTGGACATCTCTGGTATTTAACATTTTACAAAGCGGAGGAATAACGCGTTGGTCGATCACGTACCTTACCTTGAAACAAGAAAGTATGTGTACATTAGATCATAAATAAAAACATGGAATATTTACTGCTTCTTGTTTGAAAATCGTTACTCATATGAAAAGAGCCTAAATGCATTTCGTCATTTATCAACGATTTATTCCAGTATGTCCTGAAATTCTAGTCAAGAGTGGGAGAAAATTTCAAATATTACCGGACATTTGATCGTTTACAAATTGATTATTCGAAAGCCTATGTATCAATGGTATGTTAGTGAAGCGCTTTTTGTAGAATGACATCTTTAGATTCGATTTATGAACTATTGACTAGTACCTATTAACTTTTCAAGTGCTGGTCGCCCCTGAGAATTTTAAAACAAGTTCATGGAACAAAAAGGCATACCTGTTCGGCATTTCCGTTGATCGCTAGATTCGAGATAGCCCATGCAGCCTCTTTTTGTGTCAAGAACTCGCTTTCAGCCAGATGATGGATAATTAACGGGACTAGTCCATGGTCTATCACAGCTTGGACTTGACTTTGGTTCCCTGCAGTAATATTGGATAGAAACCAGACAGCTTCTTTGTTAATTTTATCTCTCGGGTGAGTCAACAAAGATGCGAAATGACTTAAAGCTCCACAATCCAAAACAACTTGAGTTTGTTGGTCTGAACCTGTAACTATATTTCCAACGGCACGCAAAGCAGCAGTTTGCACCTTGAAACTTGAATGTGATAACAATGGGACCAAATGAGGCACTATCTCTGCATTTATAACCATTTCGATTTGATCGTTTCCACCGTCAGTTAGATAGGATATGGCCCAAACAGTGTCGACAAGAATCTGGAAATTTACAAGACCGCAAATAAATAAAAAGAACGTTTAAGTAGACTGACATTATACAAGTCTCATTAACTTTTGTGACGGTAAAACCCAGTGTATATTATAGGTGACAAAACTTAAGAAATTAGTACCATTCAATGAGTTAAAAGGTAACTCTAACCATGTAGTTTCATAGAATAGTGCGATATTTACGACTAAACAAGGATTTCTCACTTCCTTAGGAGTCAAAATGCAGAAAACTGACATAAGGTTAACATAATACACAACACGACCACAGCCTATCCGGTTTCGTTATTTTGTCTCACAAACATGAATTAAATGGGGTTATTTTTACCACATAACAGATATAGGTTTTGAATTTGCGCACTTATTTGGACAATGGTGATCCTGAAGTCGCGTACTTTCGGAGTCATCCCCGATAACAGCAAGAATTACTACATACCTTACAATTACACAATCAGTGGATAAAATAAACTTGCTACATTTACTGTAAACGAGGATTTCGGGAAGTTACTTCTTAGTGGTAAACAATGCATTTTTCTGATGTGTAGGTGAACTTGCTATCTACACTTGTAAGCTAGCTTTTTTCAAGTGGATCAGAAGACTTATATCGGGGTAAAAAGTAAATGTGAAAATCAGTACATAGAGACTGTATGGAATGTGAATAACGAACAAAGATTGGCACTGATTATAAAGTAAGGCCTGTAATAAACAGAACGATTCTCAGTTATTGTAGTTCATATTCACATATAGCTGTGAATGTTAACATATAGATTTAAATAGTGTAGATATAAAATATGGGATAACTTACACTATCATCGGTATGTTTTATTAAATATAAGAGAGCCGGCAGAAGTTCTCTGATAGCTGAGGCAGGAGGAGGAGGGTCCTTGTTGCGACAAAGGTTGACCATCACCCAGGTGACATTACGTAGGAAGTTCAACGGTATATTTGGTGTTAAGAGCTTTAATAATGGCTTTATGACATCCAATTTGATTACGTAATCCCTTAATACTGGACCATCTCCGATTATATTACCCAAGGCCCAAACAGCCTGTTCGCAAACATTAGGGTGTGAAGAAGACAGCAGCTTTAGAAAACGTGGTACGGCTCCTGCTTGAACAACAGCTAGAGTCTGTCCAGAGGTGCCGGATGCAATATTCGTTAAGGCCCAGGCAGCTTCAAATTGAAGATTGGGACTAAAATGAAAGATGCATTGTCAGCAATGATCAAGCTACATATAAGGTCTTATCAACAAGTCGTTTCGATCATTTTAAATTTTCAAACGTTATTTGGTAGGCCCTAATTCTAGAAATTCTGGGAAGTCAACTAAGTCGAATCAATTAAAAGTCCAGACAAACGTTGGTCCAGACTACTTGATGTCTTAGGTACTGTTTTGAAAACTCTGATCGAGAAACCTGACTACTGTTAGTGATCATCTGATGTATATGTATGAGATACGGTAAACTGCTTTGAAGTACTTTTAATAGAATATGAGGACAACCTATTAGTTGGTCACGTTTCCAATCCGTTATTTTTTACATTAGCACAGTGAGATGAAGCTGACAAGATGAAATGCAAAGGAGTCGAGACAATACAAGTAATGATGATGAAAACTAAATACTGATAAAAATGTCCGAAAAACAGAATGGAAAGTATGAATGAATATTAAAACTTAGTATCTGTGGAATAAAGAGAATGGACCTGCTCTACTGAGTTATTATGGGCGCAATCAAATGCTCTGCATCAACAACGGTTTAGTTCTACAATGATTTTATGGGCTGATATCACATCTTTGACCAGCTTCATTACACCCTAACCAGTATTGCGCACCGTGACGGAGCAGTCATATAAGCGTAATACATCATTCGGTCGCCTTAATCAGTGAAAAAACACGTCAAATAATGTCGTAGTTACTAAGTTGGTTATCTCCAACTCTAGTGTTATTTACTCCATCGTAACTGAATAGGCAGAATCCTACTAAGAAACTTATCATGTTGTCAGTCTATGTGCGTCTTGCTTTTATACATCAAGCTTTGCGGCCAAACAGTAATAGAGTGGACTACTGAGTAGTGGTGTTCGTCACAACACAGGATTCAAAAGAGATGAGACTATTTAGGACGTGCAGAAATCTCATTAGCCAAACACAGGCTTGATACTTACAAGGTAAGTGAATTGGCTAGTGTCAATCTAAGCTGTCCCAAATCAGCTCTGAAGTGTATCCCCAGTTTTTATTTATTTAGTTTAGTTTAACACATAGATATTATTACAAGGAGGCACCAAATACATATGCGCCACACAAATATCAATTGATATGTGTGAGGACTGTGATACTGCCCGGGTGCCCAAACCTAAGCAAGTGATTTTCTTAGGAGGCCACACCCAGAGTCTTCGACCTAAAGACCTGATCCACAAGACAGTCGAGCATCGTAAGGAGATACAGTCCCATGGTAGCCGGTGATCAACGATTGGTTTATACGCTATTTGTACCTTCAGGATACTGGAGCCCATGTGCACCATTGATTTGGGATCCGATTGATGCGACGGACATTCGCTTTTTGCCCTATCATTTTCGTAAACAACACCCCCGCCACGTTAAGGCAGTGAGTAGGACTTCCCTGGCAGAAGCTATATACGCGTGGCCATGTGAGAGTATTTCGAGGAGAGCGGACTCTCCCCAGTTTCGGCCGTACCAGGGCCTAGATTATTTGTTACTTAAGGAGTTCAAAAGATGCTCTACGATGTCAGAAGGGAAACAAATCCAGGTAATAACTGCCTGAAGTATATTACAGACGGTGTCCTCGATAAAGGTCCCTGCTGTACTAACAATACGTCAGAGCCGTGTTATGCTGTAAGTTGTAGTATCTGAGATGATTGTCCGTGAAAAATGTCTAAATCCTATTACAGTTCGGAGAAATTTAACTACAAAACTAACTTCCTAGATATGGTCTGCCTTCTAATCAATCTCGGTATGGCAGAAACTCAAACTAGTGCTTTAGCCAATACTACATAGCTCGTAAAATTGAATTGAGGACCAACGAGAATTAAACACTAGACAAAGTATTCACTATATGAAAGAAACTACAGCGCTAAAACCACGTTTTAAAAACCATAGATGAATCCTTAAAACAGCATGAAGGTTAAGGACTAGTATTTGAACATGAGAACTAGCTCACCATCTGGCACACAAGGTGGTTGCAGAATGACTGAGAAGGATCGAACAATTAAAAAAATGAAGTATAGGATAGAATACGATTTATTCAATAATTCGTTCAAGGTATTTTCGGTTGCGAGTTCAAGTTATCTTTACAAAACCCGGGTTGGGAATTCATGATTTCACAAACGGCTCACAGTGATAATACTAACTAACCACCGTTTTGCCGCAAATTTGTACCTTAATATACTACAATGAATAACCAAACTAACCAGACGTACTATCTGAGCCTACCGCTCTATTTAAGAAAAGACAAGAAATATGAATGTCATATAAAACTGATTCTTAAAGACTTAAACGCGACTAATTCAGGAATCGTTTGTGGAAGGTAGTAATGTATTACAGCGAGAAGACTGACTTACTCTTCACTTGTCAGACAAGCGACCAACTTTGGTAGCATACCAGCATTTATAAGCTCGTCAATAGGAGGATTCCGATCACTGGAAAGAAGCTTACGAGCTGACTGAACGACCAACAACCTGACAGCTGGATCTTCGTTCTCAGCATTTGCTACTATGGATTCCAGGTTTAGCAACGTAGACTTCCCAGTCCCATCGATTTCTGTGTCAACAGGATCATTAGCCGTCTGTGGTCCATTAGTTCCAGTAGGAATGTTCCTTTTCTTTTGAAGTGTTTCTTCTCGTTTGTTCTTGCGAAGTTCTACTTGTCCTTCCTGACGACGACGTCGCATCTCCTAAGGTAAAAGAATGACAACAAAAAGCACTCATACTTACGTCTGCACTTTTGCCAGCATTCTTAAAAGACATAATACGCACCGCCGCCTGATCACCCATTCTTATCTGTATTGAGGTTACCCAACAAATGTGAAACCGAAACTTCTGAAGGAGATATTCAAACAAATGATTTTGAAGCTCAAACTTTTTGTGTTATTGTAAAAGAAGTAGAAAAGTTATTTGTTGTGTAAATTACTTTGTTATTGATTTTGTTTTGTTAATGTTTAGTTTACTTTATTTCTCATCGATTACTGAGTTCATTAATCACCGCTTCAGACATAATTTCTACTCACTCGATTCTCTTGAATTACGTAAACTCTTCGAATCCCATTCAATTATTACGTGACCTATCTCACCAGTTTTTAATTCGATAAATCTTACATAAACCCTTCATTACTTCTAAAATTATCATATAATTAATCTGTCTCTGAACTTCGCTCAACTATTACGTCACTCTTCCCTAATGCTTTCATAATTCTAACATCAAATAACTTCTGACCTGTTTTTGAACACGTATATATAGTTATTATTGATGACGTTTATCGTTTCAATTCTCGACATTCATCTGTGTTAATTGTTCCTCGATGTAAAATCTTAATACATAGTTGATTTAAAGCAGCTGATGAGATACCACGAAGTGTAATGAATCCATATTATTCTGTTTGTTCTGGTTTTGTTCAAACCATTCTTTGTCTCCCAGTCGTACGAACGGAGTTGTTCGCTATAATAATATGTTTCGACTACTTCGTTTTGCCTTATGATGATATATCGATGTGATGACTCAAGCCAAATTGTCTGGAACACACGTACCATCACGGATAGGTCAAATGGAGAACAAAAATTCAGAACTCGAGCGCGAAGTTGTACTGCTGACCGTGGAAGGCTGTGAAAGTTGTGAATTGTTTCTCTCGGACAGCAAGCATTTGCAGATATGCTGTCTTCTCACAAAGGAAGAAGAGATTTAGAAAAGGCCAATTTTTAAAATATCGGGCCTCACCTTATCCCAAGAATACCCGAAGGCAAAACCTTTTGATATTCGGAGCTCACATATCATAAACTTCTCGTAAATAGTCCATGCGCGACCAGCTTCCAGTAGTTATCCCTTGGAGTATATGTTCATGGTCCAACATCACTAAGATCACTACCAACTCAGCTCATTTTTCAGGTCCTTTAAGAAGAAATATCCTCCCACAGTGTGGGAAAATGGGAAGTAACTAAAAAAAACTCACATCTTTACCAGCAACCGAAATCATTATGTTGACGATCGAACCCCTCCCTCGCCCGTTAAAAATTCTTCCGTTCTCACGATCAGCGCTTCACATACACATTTATCACCACTCTCCACCGAGGTTAAGTTGGGTTTGTGAAGTGCTTTTCTTAAATCTCTTGAGACAACTCACTAAGCTAAACAATGAAGCTTTTAATCTTCAAATCTAGTGTCAGATATAAAAACAGGCTTTCTTAGCGAACTCTCTAGAATTCCGCTCTACAAGTGTATTCTACGTCTCCGAAAGGCTCATGCAGGATTTGATTACGGTCATTCTTTTAACCTCACCTTGTCACTTTGAAGAATCGGAACGATTTGACCTTCGAGTATCAGGAAATCTCACTTCTACTTCCTATGGTATCGCCGGTGTAAGTATAGCATTAAGTACAAAAGCATAACAGGCTCACATGTAGTGGATTTCAACAAACAGTGATTTGTACTCTGTCCGACTAAACGACCACACTAGTTAGTCTTACGGGCCGATAATTCGTACCTGTTTTGAATACAAAGCTTACTATAGCAGTCCTCAAGTCTTTTGGTAATCGAACCTGAGTTACGGATGGATTAAACATATGCTTAGAGGATACACAACAAAATTTGCTAAATTTCTTGGTAACATAGGATACGAACCGAAGACAATGAGTTCTTTAATTGTTACAGTGTCCATTGTGCGTGATAAATCCTGTGTGAACTGAAGGAAAGGGTTTTTCTGGGGTACATATATAACTAAAGTAGCGTGGGAATAGGTGAATATTATCACAGTCGTCCTCCATCAACGATGAAGTACTTCAGTCACTCCATAATGGTGGAAGATTTTATCTTTTCCTAATGTATCGGTTTATATAGGAGAATAAGCATTAAGGATATTCTGTGGATTAATTACCAAGTTTTTATTCGTGCAACCTACTAGACTTGGAAAGGGTCGAGGTACAAATATCTTGAGTTTCCCCATATCGGGATTTCATCAGCATTCAGTGACCTAAATCTCTCCCACATTCTTTTTTTCCCTACGGAAAAGACGCGAGACTATTTACTGAACCACGGTTGGGTGCAGTCTAATGGATGTGCGGTGCAATTGCGGTGTATGCTACTTAAATCTACCGACGTAAGTAGTGTTAAGTTTATTCTCTCTCTTCCGTTATCGAGGTGCAGTATATTGGAGTAAAAAATACCAAGCCAAAGACAAAGAGAAGCCAAAATATCCGAAAATAATGACATAAACAAGCAAGTTCGGAGGTTGAGTAAAACAAATACACCCAAAAACACAGTGAAATTAATGATATTCAATATAATGACTTTAATCAACCAAGTGTCTTTAGTTCTCCCGTAACATGTGGTGCAGGCCTTATATGTTCCGGATGCTGAGCGGATGTCGGATTTGGATGGCCTGTTTCTGCGGAAGTCAGCGTGCTGACAGACTGGATATCTTAGCGGAGAGCGTGGCATAGACTGCTGCAAAGAAGGGAGTGGCACGGACAACAGAACCACAGCAAAAGCGAATGTTTAGAAGGAGGAAAAGTATGATGTATAGCACTTATGACTAACAGCAGAAGGTTGGGAGGTTGGAATTGAAGAAATCGACAACGGAGAGTGATTGTAATAACGGTGAAAGTACGGTGAAATTTGAGATAATTAATGGAGGATTTTAAAACGAGATATTAAATGTATGGTCTTCACATTCCACTAAAGGGCTCTGAAATTTTATACTAAACAATAAATTGTTTGTCCTTACCTCAGTTCTCGTTCACAACACATCAAATTTCATGAACAAAGTGGCTTTATCGTTCAATCTACTGAGAATTTTGAGTGTATACTATCTTGTATGTTTGCTTCCCGGTCGTTTTGTCTGGCTTAGGTTGATACAATCTCGTTATTGCCAAATACATGGAAATCAAAGTCTAGAACTTCATGGTCACTTTTGCCAAGGGTTGGCACATAATGGAGGTGTGTGAGGTCATCCCCGTAATGGGTCAGTATGCGATCTAGTAATGATGATTCGGAGTCAGGGTCGTACTTAGGGGCCTTTTTCACATGCTACACTAAAGAACACGTGATACCCGCATCAATCGGCTTTGGCTTGAAAGAATTTTCTGACAAACCAGCTCTCAAATGAACATGGAAGTCACACTGCTGTCTGTACGGGCTCGTCCCACCATGACAATCGGCGAATGATGTTTAGTACTTCCGAAGAACACATTTCGGCTGAGGATAAAATGATACATATGGTGTAGAAACGTTACAGTTATGTAGAATGACCAAGCCTGCAAGGCTGAGCCATGCCACATCAATTATTCTCGCGTCCGCCATTAGTGACGTTTCCATGTCAAATGCCAAATATTGCTTACTTACTTACTCACGCTAGTTACTCCCAATGGAGCATAGGCCATCAACCAGCATTCTCCAACCCACTCTGTCCTGGGCCTTCCTTTCCAGTTCTGTCCAATTTTTGTTCATTCTTATCATGTCTGCCTCCGTTTCTCGACGTAATGTGTTCTTTGACCTTCCTCTTTTCCTTTGGCCTTGAGCATTCCATGTGGGGATTGCCTTGTGACGCAGTTGGATGCTCTCCTCAATGTGCGTCCTATCTACTTCCAGCGTTTCTTCCTTATTTCTTCCTCCGATGGGATCTGGTTTGTTCTCTCTCACAATAGATTGTTGCTAATAGTGTCTGACCAACGGATCCGAAGTATTTTGCGTAGACAGCTGTTAATAAACACTTGTATCTTCTGGATGATGCCTTTCGTAGTTCTTTGCTTTCAGCCCCTCCGGGGCTACTTCCCGTCCCAAGCCCGGATAGAGGCGGAGGGTTGAGCATGGGGTTAGCGATAGCATCCCGTAGAAAACTAACTCGCTAAAAAGCGCTAACCAGAAACATTTATTGAAAAATTATTCAAATGTCGAATCTAGATTTTCTCATTCAGCTTATATTCAACTTTGAGTGTTGTGTGGTTAGAACCAATACCACTGCAGCCTGAAGCTAACCGCTACAAAAATGCATTTCGAGCAAATCTTTCACTGTTAACGTTGAAAAACACTTTCGACCATTTTGACAGTAGAACTTCCAAAGTAATCTTTAAAAGTTTTATCCGACCACATTTAGAGCATGAAAATATATCCTTCCTTTCTTGGCTACAAATGGATAAGAAAAAACTGGAACTTATCCAAAGGCGAGTAAGTAGCCCAAATTAAAACATCGTGAACGGCGCCCCGAGCCGTTAAATCTTTATTCATCAGAGTATAGGCGTCCCAGAGATGACCTTCTAATAACTTGTAACATCCCAAACACTTCTGGACATTCCATAAATGTCTATTTATGCTCTGTCCCAACACAAAACTTCAGTGTAACATCTAGACATTAACGATACAACACAAAAATGTACTGTAACCAAGACCCCTACTGTTTACGAATACTCAAATTCTGGAATTCGCTTCTGGCTAAGGTAGCTCCAGAAGTCCTTCACGAGGAAGCAACATATTCTTAGGTGCTCAGGATAGTATTTCATCATAATTTAGCAATATTTTTGTACCTAATTATACCTAGGTCCCTTCCTTGGGCTTCAGTGATCTACTGCTACTCGATATGAAAGCCAGCTAAGCAAAAGCTTTTTCTATTCCATCCACATCTACTCGGGTTACTGTTTATTGAAAGTTTGAAGGTCGGGACGAATTACGAATGTGTCGCGTAAATTTTGTCGATTCCTGCTTGACTTATGGAAGAAAGTCTTTCTGAGTCAACGCCAGTGGATCTATTTCCACAAGCCTTCCCTAAAATACCCTCAGCTACATCTTGTCCGAGATATCAAAGAAAGCTGTCGGTCAGAGAAATAAAAATCCAACGATCCGAGGCTGGCAACAAATATGCAGCAATTACAAGGCATTCTCGTGCTAAGGTGTGAGGAATTCCACTTTTTTAAAATTATATTTGTCAGACCTGTTTCTTCGCACTTTATTGGCTCGGGTTTTAATCATTATGAATTTTAATAACTTAGGCATGAGACTGCAGTATGCAATTTAATAGGACGCTTAAGTGTCCTCTGTTGCCAATTTTCAGCAGCGCATGTATCGTCAAAAACTGTTCGTATGCATCCAACCTCCTGAATATATATATATATATATATATATATTTGCCACAAAACTAGAAAACCTTGATTTAACTAACATATTAGTTAAATTAAGGCTTAAAGATGAGTTGTTCTAATTTTATTCTATCAGTCTACCAACATTATATGCTATTGAGAGCAGAAATGACAGTTTACTATCCACTTTATACGAAAATCGTGAAAACTGTACTCTGAAACTTTTCTGATATCTCTCGACAATAAAATATGAAAAGTTAACATCATCAGCGATGAGATCTAAGGAGGAAACATGTGGTATTCCTACAAGTCATCTGTTTTGTTAGTAGTTTACCCCTTCGCAGCTTTCACTAACGGTTATGTGTGATGTAAATATTGTGAACTACTCGCGCCACATATCAGTGCTCACAAATTATGAATCAATACAATTTATTCCAAAGAGATTCATTGTATATCAGATCTCTATATCGCTTAATTTTCATATACCGAAATATTTCTTTTAATCTATTCAAGTAACACAGTAGGTCATCCCTATCGATATTTATTTTACAAAAGTAATGGTTATGAGGGCTATCCCCTAATGTAATGTTTGGTGTTGATATTTTGAAACCGTTTATAGTATTTAAAAATTACATCTAACTCCAGCAGCTTAATGTAGATCAGACAACAGGCCGGTTTAACTAAAACCAGAGGAAGCCTTACCAATACTCGTATTTCAGGGGCCTATATTCAACATTCAAGTAAAGTACTGTCAACTAGTTTCCCATCAGTTGGTTCGGAAATCACGTTGTATGTAATATTCAATCAGAGCAACAGATAAATGTTTTGGCATGCAACGTGTTTGAGTTATCTTCGCCTTCCCCTCAACAGATTAAAGCGCAGATAAAATTGTTACCAACTGATTTGCAACAAAGTGTGCTCAACAGGTGTTACGGTACTTGCTGGCGACTTAAATGTGTGATTTGAATGTCTAAGCACAGAGGATATTGTTTCTGGTGGTCGGAGACTAAATAACGGAGCTTGTACTCTGCAGCACTGCTGATATCATAAACTACTATCAGTGACAAGCATCAACTTCCGCAATGGCCGTGATTAATACTGCTTGATGCCATTCGTTCGGAATCCTGGCTTGAACTGTAATTAGACTAATGAAGGCGCGAATGTTTACGTTATTACCAATTTTTTTGGTACATATTTTGGATTCTGATCATAATTCGTTATGCCTCGAACGTGACGGTTAGTAAATTTATCATCCTAAGCTGGTTTATGTAGACAAGTCATCTGAACCTATAGTAACCAAATATTAAACCAAGCTAGCTTCAGAGCTACTTATCAGCCGGTCAAAAAGTGTTGATGGGGATTATTTACATATATACAAAAAAAACATACTGAATAAAGTCGTTGTTCTGTAGTATCCCGTTTATAAACTTAAGGTCTCTGTAGGTTCCATAAAATGCCTTGACAGAAGTTAGTTTATTCTTACAGATCGCGACTGCAATGTTGGAGGTTGCTGTTATTACCCGAAGTATTCTCTCCGTAAAGAACATATTATCGAAACACGTTTTTAAAATGTTAGGATCCAATATTCACCGTTGTGTATCTGGAGAATATTTCAAACTGAATTGTAAGGTATTGGAATTATTTGCTAGAAGTATGGTATCACAAAATACGATAGGGTCTTCAGAATACTTCTCATGTCAATGAGTCACAAGTCAATTAACTTATTAGTATCACCAGTGTAGTTGTTTGATTGGTATGCTGTTAGCCCAACCTACATTTTCTTCATTTTTAAATAAATGCATTTGTAATATCCCGATGAGTAGAAAAATTAAGTTTTCTAATATTTCTTGACTCAGTGTAAGCCACTTCTTCAGAGAATGAATAACCAAATCAAAATTAATCCAAGTTTTGTATTTGGTTATTTATTCTCTGAAGAAGTGGCTTACACTGAACAGCGAAACGTTTTGTTTGCTTAATATGTGAGTGGTATTCATAAAATAACTAGATATCTTACAAATATATACCTTAAAGAAAGATATAACTTGCAAATTAATCTACTTAAGTAATGGTTTTTCCTTATACTTGAATTTACAGCACAAAAGTTCTACAAAATGCTAAGTACCTACCCTAACATTTTAAAAATTGTTTATTTTAATCCAACAATTAGGCATTATGGAAGACAGCCTTCAGTTTAATTTCCTATCGTGGTGACCCATGGGAGAAATTTCACTTACAAGAACTTCCAGAAGAAACGGCAAAGCGTTATCGTTATAACGCTATTAAGGGCAAGTGGATAGAAGATATCGTACGTGTAAAAGTAGAAAATTCACCATTCAATCGAGGTGCTATGAGAGAATGCTTTCGTGCGTAAGTCAGTTTACGTTTATGTTGTAGCAGTTTTTCTTAAGTTGAGTATATTTTACCCAAAAATTTCAAAATGTTCGGATAGATTTCTTACAAAATAATCTTGCATATTTTATCATTATATAATCTAAGTGGTATAAGAGACAAGCGTGGACGTCGACCTTTGACTGTTGCATCATTTCTACTTAGACGTATTAGTCGTAGCGAATAAAACACAAACCATCTAAAGACTATTTACTCGGATACTTACGAGCCAGAACTTACGACCAACTGACATCTAAATTGGTAGCATCATTATTTCAAGCTAACAGTCGTTGTGTTTCTTAATGTCTGGGCCGTATTTGGCTCGTCGAATAGGATTGTGCTCTGGGATTATCTGCTGAAGAAGGGTATATATGAGAAGTTTATTAACATCTTGGGAAATCGATCCAAACTTCCAAAGCAGAGTAAGGGCATACACCTATCTTTCCACTGCTCCATTCCAGCAGTTGGACTAGGTTGTGTTGCCCAATCTCACTATTCCTAATCAAGTTTGCCATCAATGACATCCGAGAAGTAGCTCTGACGGTTGTGTGGATGTGTTACCTGGTGAGAGATTTTTCGATCTTGAGTATGCGGATGATGCTGTATTACTGCCCAGTAAAACTCCGGGTGTGTAAATTGGACTCAATCAGTTGGTAATTACTGACCGTGAGTATTGCACGTACTTTTCAACTTCTTAATGTTGAGTACTTTTATAAGACGGACAGGACCCCGCGAGGAATTAGATGTAACCGAAAATCCCTATGTCTGTGAAACCTAGCCTCTCCGAGTTGTTCATGTTAGGCGACTCCCTGTGCTCGATCATCACTGTGTCCTAAGGGTTTCCAAGGTCCAGTGGCAACACTATGTTAATAATTCTGAGGTTCCGCAGTAGGTTTGAATGCTGTGACAATATATTAAAAATGTCATCTTAGTGGATTCTATGTCGTGCTGTATTTGCCAACATTGGAACTGAATGGCGAAAGAAAAGGGGTGGTCAGTTTACGACATGACACTGTAGTATGGAAGAGAGGTGTATAGAACTGGAATCTGTTGGTCCATCAAGATTCCCTGGTTGGTATCCTAGAGATTGCACGACTCAATGGTTTGAAATGTCACTGGACATTGCTCAGAAGGGCCCCGAATGCCCTAGTACGACCGAGAGTGAGGAGAGTCAACTCTCCCTCTCGAAACGCTCTCACATGGCAACGTGCATACAACCACTGCCAGCGAAGTCATACTCACTGCCTTCTCGCGGCGGGGTGTTGTTTACGAAATTGAGAGGACGACGAACAGTGAATGTCCGGCGCTTTAATCGGGTTGATGGATATTGAGGATTCACCTAGGGGATTTTGAAAACCCTGATTTCAAACCAATGGTGTACATGGGCTTAATTATCCTGAGGTAACATATGGCGTATGAACCAATCGTTGGTCACCGGCTACCATGGGACTGTGTCTCTTTACGATGCTCCACTGTCTTGTGGATCAGATCTTTAGGTCGAAGGCTCCGGGTATGGCCTCCTAAGTAAACCACCTGCTTCGGTTTGGGCACCCGGGCAGTACCACAGCCCTCACACAAATCAGATGAGATATGTGCGGCGCATATGTATTTGTTACCTCCTCGTACCAATATCTATGTGTTCAAATAAATAATAAATAAAAAATACTCACAATAGAAGAGCCGGTGGGGATCCTGTTGTAGTTTTCTTCTGCATTACAAAATTGAAAGGGATTCCTTTAACTGGGAAAAATCGTCCTGGTTGTATGCTTTTAACAGGACTGTTTCTATCCACTACGTATTGCTCTAGTCCACTTTTATTTATTTATTGTTTTTGATTATGCTCACCTTACTTCCTCTATCTTTTCATGAAATCATTTCCTTATTTGTGCGGCGCATATTTATCTTTGTTCTCATTTGTACTAATATTTATATGTTTTAAGTAAAAATGAATGAATAAAATCTTTCAAAAATTCCCATTTCATATCCATAAATAATTATACATTATTTGATTTGTGTAAGTGAAATTTTTTGTTTTTGTATAAAGTAAACTTTATTTCATGTTGAATATCATAGCTGAATGAAATCGATAGATATGTGAGATTCTCTAATATTTTTTTTATTTCCACAGAAAGAAATTGTCCAATTTTTCACATTGCTCTGATTGGTCACATGCATCAAATCATGTTGCTAAACGTTATATTGAGAAGGTTGAAACTCATGTGTATTTCGATGATGTTCGTTTACAAATGGATGCTAAACTTTGGGGTGAAGAATATAGTCGTCAACCGTCTGCACCAAAAAAAGTAATCGTTCATTTATTGACATCTGCAATAATTAAATCTTATTTTCTAGCGTGTTTGTTTAAAGGTTGTTTACACAAGTTAAATATAAGTTGTTAGTATAGGGTTATGGAGGTCGTTCAGTTTCACTGAAATCATGAAGCGATCTAAGTTAGGTAACCGTTTCGTCGTAGTATGTGACTGCTTACCAGTGGGCATCGATGACCCTGCAACCGGTAATCAGACCTTAGGTCTGGCGCGCTTAACTTCCAGACTACGAGTCCTGATCAAATGGTGCACAAGATCGGAGGTCCTGAGCTCGATTCTCGGTTGCGGGGTCGTTGATGGGCACTGACGATGAGTTCCAAATTTGAAAGAAACGGTCTTCCAGTGCTTATAGGTTTTCAATGGTTGCCTGACTTAGATCAGTCCATGATTTCAATAAATATAAGTTGCTGAGAGTAGCTATGTGGCTGTTGGATTTCCTCTATTAAATTTATGTACAAAAGATGCTATAAGTAATCTCTATTATACATGCTGTGCTGTTTATGTGTGAGGACAAGTTGTGCTCAACTCAAGTGTGGAATGAGATCACGGAAAAGGAGGGTCTCTATGACTAGTGCTAAACCTCGGGCATCAGTCTGAGCAGAACACCTCAAGACCAAACTCTCTGTGATAGTGTCGAATATTCAGGTAAGAACCTCAAAGGTCGAGGTGGAATATCTTATGTGAATAGTAGTTAACTATGCGTTATGTGAATTTAATTGCTTCGGTGACCGTGACATTAATGACACATCTGATTACGAACCAGTTCTGTATGGCAATTGCACGCAGCAAAAGATATTTTGTTTTATATTGTTGACTGTTTTTATTGAAAATGAGGAACGTCGGGTGGCCAATCAAGATCTCGAGTCGACATTGGCAGAAGATATGTGTCGAGTTTCTTCCTCTTTGTTAAATGTGCATCTATGTTCTGGTGCCAGTTTACTCAGAGTTCTAAGTATAGCCTTCGTAAAGTACTATCATTGTAGTACTCTTTAATCATTCGTATAAAGCTGACTAGGGCAATGTAGTTTTTCTCCCATACTGTACCCTTGTCTGCAACGGGTTTTCAAGATGAAGAATCTTATAGGCAGCTAGATGACGTAACTAGGCGAAGTCGGTGAATAAAATCCTTAGGCGTTGAATTATACCTTGGAGAAAATGGGTATTCGCCAAAACTTTGATGGGTATGTAGAAACTATGTGATAGGACAGTTATAAAAAATCTTGCCTCCATTCACCCAAACTGTGAACGAGATGAATCTGCAGGAGCAATTAATGGAAGGCTGAATACTACACTAAATAACTAAACTGATCGTTTTGTATAGATCAACAGTCAAAAACTGACAGAAGCCCCAAAACCCAGAGTTAAAATGTATACAGATGTTCAGCATTGCAATTTCAAGCAGTTTGATTAACGTAGGGAATTACTGTGAAGTCATTTAAGGTTATTAATAAATAACCGTGCACCAATCGTCTCAAATCCTCTGTTAAAAGTTAGAACCTGATTTATGTTTAAAAGAAAGTAGTTGTTTGTCTTCCCTTATCTTAATAGTAAAATTACAACAGAACAAAAGAGAGTAAACCATCATGTTTTTATGCTATTCAGCTTTCTCTTTTCATAGCCGCGGATTTGCTAGACTCTGCTTATATAATACAGGCTTGTTATCTCAAAGTTTAAAACAGGCCTTGATTGTTTTTGTTGTTGTTATAACGCCCAAATGTTAGTGCTTTCGGCTTTCAAATAGTAAATAGGTCAAATACCTGTTCTAACCCTAGTTTGGGAAGCTGGGGTTAGTATCACTAACTTTCACATAAAAGTATAGTTCAAAGCTGAATACAAACTTTTGTAAGTTACAATTCCTTTTGTAGGTATCAATGCCAAGGGTGTACTTGATAGTTTCAAATAAATTGAGCATCGGGTAGAAAGTTAATGGTAAATAAACTATTTGTGGTATCCCAGTGAGTAGAAAACTGTATTTCTGGGGTTTCAAAACTTAATGTAAACCACTTCTTCAGTGTAAATAAATAACCGAAATAAGATTAACATAAGTTTAAATAGTACAAAGGAAACGATGAAGAATATTTTCTGTACGATCCGAATATGTCAATGTCAAATTGTATTACAAATGCATACATTTTCCATGCCCACCTTCTGACGCACAAATTAACATAGTGACAGGTCACACAAATTCACCTTGACCAAAAATAACTTGACATTAACATATCAGGACATATTATGATTCTGATTGTACTAAAAATGTTCTTCACCGTTAATTTCATTTTGGTCATTTATTAACTCGGAAGAAGTGGTTTGCATTAAGTGACGAAACTTCAGAAATACAGTTTTCTACTCATTGGGATATCACAAATCGTATATTTATTGTTACATTTTGTTTGTTCAACTCTTTCTATTTTATTGTATTTGCTTCATTACATTTATTAGGTCGATATTTCACAAATGTGTGTATTGGAGTTTGTTAATCGACCAGAGAAACCTCTATATCACTTGGAACATTTTATAGAAGGAACTTATCGAAAGTATAATTCAAATTCAGGATTTGTAGATGATTTATCACGAAACACTCCTCAGGTGAATTACTCGTTCATTTTCTTGGTTTTTCTTTTTAAATTGAAAGACTGAACATTTAAATACTGTCTCCGGTGTGTGTGCATGTGTATGTGTTGACTTATTTACGGAAGAAAAGGTAAAAGATTAATAAGGTTAAAACTGTTGTTTTCTTGAATCTTCCCATTGATGTTTGGAACTGCAATTGATCAACCTCTTATTGGCATATGTACATCCCGTGCGGATTACCTCGATATTACCTTAAGTTACAAGCATCATAATTAGTTTACAATCTCAATTCCAACATCAAAATATACTTTATACTGTATTAATTTTTAAGGAATTTTCATAACATCAAGTTAAACAAAATAAACACTCCTTTCAGAGAATAACTCTAGTTTATTTATTTATTTGAACACATAGATATTGGTACGAGGAGGTAACAAATACATATGCGCCGCACATATCTCATCTGATTTGTGTGAGGGCTGTGGTACTGCCCGGGTGCCCAAACCGAAGCAGGTGGTTTACTTAGGAGGCCATACCCGGAGCCTTCGACCTAAAGATCTGATCCACAAGACAGTGGAGCATCGTAAAGAGACACAGTCCCATGGTAGCCGGTGACCAACGATTGGTTCATACGCCATATGTTACCTCAGGATAATTAAGCCCATGTACACCATTGGTTTGAAATCAGGGTTTTCAAAATCCCCTAGGTGAATCCTCAATATCCATCAACCCGATTAAAGCGCCGGACATTCACTGTTCGTCGTCCTCTCAATTTCGTAAACAACACCCCGCCGCGAGAAGGCAGTGAGTATGACTTCGCTGGCAGTGGTTGTATGCACGTTGCCATGTGAGAGCGTTTCGAGAGGGAGAGTTGACTCTCCTCACTCTCGGTCGTATCAGGGCATTAGGGGGCGAATAACTCTAGAAAAAAGCATATATTTTTTCATAGCATTCGAAGTATGATTTAAGTGTGTTGTCCCACGGAATGGTTTCAAAAGAAGAACGTTAGTCGTTTTTAATCACGGCCATTGCGGAAGTTGATGCTTGTCACTGATAGTAGTTTATGATATCAGCAGTGCTGCAGAGTACAAGCTCCGTTATTTAGTCTCCGACCACCAGAAACAATATCCTCTGTGCTTAGACATTCAAATCACACATTTAAGTCGCCAGCAAGTACCGTAACACCTGTTGAGCACACTTTGTTGCAAATCAGTTGGTAACAATTTTATCTGCGCTTTAATCTGTTGAGGGGAAGGCGAAGATAACTCAAACACGTTGCATGCCAAAACATTTATCTGTTGCTCTGATTGAATATTACATACAACGTGATTTCCGAACCAACTGATGGGAAACTAGTTGACAGTACTTTACTTGGATGTTGAATACAGATTTCTGAGATATAATAGTTATCGAAAGATGTAATTTCTAGATGATATAAGTGGTTTTGAAATAGCACCATCAAATATCACATTATGCGATATCTCTCGTAAAACAGCTGTGAAATTTGTTCAGATAGACTATAAATTTCGATGAAGATCTATTATATCACTGGAAGAATAGGGATAAACTGCATGGAACTAAATCGACATTTTGATCTTATTTTATGACGTCTTTTCATTGGAATTGTAGATTGATAATTTAGGTACTAGAGATAATCGATTATTAAGTGGAAATTCTGAACTCATACAAGTGACTGGAATGAATAAATCTACAGTTTAGTATCATGTTAAATTTTAAACAACTAATCTAATAGTCATTTCGGTACACAATTCTGTATATGATCACCAGATCGTATTTTAATAATCATAAAATGTTTGTGCAAATAGATTTTTTTTCTTCCATGTCCACATGTTTTGCATGTATTCTTTAGGCTTTTAGTCACTTCACCTTTGAACGAAGTGGTCATCGTTTAATTGTAGTTGATATACAAGGTGTTGGTAATCTGTGGACAGATCCTCAAATTCATACATTCGATGGTAAATCTTATGGTGATGGAAATCTGGGGGTTCGTGGAATGGCTTTATTTTTTTATACACATCGATGCAATCCATTATGTTTAGCGCTATCATTAAGCGCTTTTGATTTACCAACAAGTGAAAAACTATCTACATTTAGTCAATTATCTATGAAAGTGACGGATAATCAGACTGAAAATACAAATGGGATCAGTGATAATAATAATGTAAGTTGAAGAATGACTCACTAATTCTCATTCCAAATGGATCTTGTGTTCTAGTTATTTCTACATAGATATCCTTTCGTTCCATCTTTTCGTATAATCTTCTTTAATGTTTAATACTTCTTATCATTGCTACCAAAATCATTTCTATTGCTTCAACATTCATTATACTAATTTTATCTCATGCCGATTTGATGTAGCAACTTTGGCTAATGCACATATGTCCCAGGCTCTATGTTGATTATGAATGACTGATTGAATGAATGAATCAATTGAAGAACTATTGGGTTGGTAATCAGAAAACACTAAACAGTTGTTTTATCCATTTTAGGATTTCTCAGTAGTACGTACCATTTATGGAATTGAACAATGGTACTAAAATTTTCATGATGAATCATCATTTTCTTCATGATTACTGTTGTGAATATGCAAATACTAGTACTGTTTGGACTTTCGAAACTACATTACGGACTATTATTGCTTATATTTTTATCAAGTAATTATTAGATAATCGGACTATTGCATTTCTGTCCTTGGTATAGTGAGCTTCCGTTAGACCTATTGACTGCTGCTATACTTATTATCTTTTAGTTAGCATTAATTAACTATAAATCGTTTGCTCCGTTCCCTACCATTTATGGCATGATTGTGTGTAAAGGGTTATTTTTTATTTGGAGTGGATTGCGGTGTGATAATTCATGTGTATAAACTAATGAGTATCTGAAATAAAAATAATAGGTGCTTGAAATACGGATAATAGAAACTCCCCTGTCATGTTCTGTTACTCAGGACTGCAGGAAGAAACTTTTTATGGGCGGTGTCTGAAATCTAATACTGATACAGGACGTGTTATGCGCTAGCCTCCCACCAACTAACTACTTGAGCAAAAACACAAGAGTAAATGCTAGAGTATATTGGGCTACCGAATAATATGCACAGACCTAGATATATATTTATTTATCTTTACCCCTTAACAATCCATATGAACTTTCCCGTGAGGTCGTTTCAGATTGTCAGCAAGTAACCTCATATGGCTAATTCCGATAGGCTCGCCATATTAGAAGGCTAGTTTTTTAAGTAAAACAATAGAAGTTAGGATTATTTATGCCTAAACTCAACGTCAATCGGGCCAGCCGAAGCGTATCGTTGGTCAAACCTTAGGACACTAGGGCATAGATGAAATAGTATATGTGAGAAATTATAACCATGATTCTAGTTGGCAAAACTTGCCTAGATATCGATTAACGTCGCATTCATGACAATTACAAGTAATGCTTATCGACAAGTGCCAGCTGGTGCGGAACCTGCATTCGTGATATTCTATCTATTGTTTTTAACCACCTTGGTTCTAATCGCAATCACCAATCAACTTATTATCCGTTGGTAACAATGATATAATTGGAGCGTATACTTCATTTGTTAAATTTATTCTTCCGACACTTTTTGTTACTGATGTTTGAAAATTATTAGTCATATATGTATCAGGAATCTTTCTCTAACCAATTTTAAATTACTCGGTAAATACAGTTTCATTGTATTTACAAAAAGAGTTTAGTGTTTAAAACAATCAAAATATGGTATGATAAAGTAAATGCATTGTGTCATCATTGAGTTTTAAATAATTTTAAATTTGGAATTTACTCGTGAGTTTGCTTAACCACCACCTATCTCGACGATCGATGCCTACTAGCACAGAAATAAGTTGAGAGAAAGCTAAGGGTGTCCAAATAAAAACTTGGTATTCGTCTATGAAGTCACTGACTGTTGATCTGACTTGCTTAAGTACATACAACTTATCTGTTTAAAGTCCTCGTAATAACCACACTGAGTTGTTAGAGAAGTTGGATGACATCTCTCAGAATTATTCATATTTGTGTAGATGTATTCACTCTTCATCTTTCGATCTTAAATTCCGGTATCCGTTCATGCATATCTTTCCACTCTTTCTTTTCAAACCATCTTTTCAGTTCTTAGTCTTTCTTTTTATCACCACCACATTACTTCAATCTATTTTATTGTTTTCATTTCGTCTTGCTAATATAGTATGACTTAGACCAAAACATTTATGCTAGATTAGGGATGGAAGATACGACTCGAGAAGGAAATATAAATTGATTAAATAAACAGATTATGAAGAATTTAGAAACTTGAGATTTAAGGAAAGACGAAAAGTAAATGCATCTGCGCCATTTTGAGCCATGTCACCCAACTTCTGACAATTAGTTACATCAACCAGATGGTTTTCCCCTACCTTCATGACTCGCTCTATTAGTCTGTTTTCATGAACTGATACCATGTCTTGGTTTAGCCCCTTCAATCTTTCTTCCAACTTACTCCTATATCAATCATCATCGTGTGTGCGAGGTAATCTGTGGATAGACATACGTAATACGTATTATCACAATCTTAATCGTTAAATATTCACTACCTCATCAATTTATTGGCCACGTTTACCTAGTACCGCACCACACGACAAAGATGACGCGAATTCAGGTATATGGTTTTGTACTTAATAATTAATCAGTTGCATCAAATTTTAACTTCTATCAATAAAATCTCTAAATCGGCTGTTAAATACGGTCTTGAATGCATTTATTCTAATTTCCCTAACTATATGTAAATATTTTATCGTTCTTGGTATTTCATTCTTTTGTCATCTCTTTTTCTTTTCTTGTACTTCCATTTGTGTTTTTACCATTTATCTTCCGTAAAATCATTTTTCTTATCCTTTTTAGATTTCCCATCTCTTGAGTTTTCACTTATTTTACTGATATAAAACGTAATAATTTCCGCTTATTTTCTATGCCTTGAGTTAATTCTACTTGTATTTTCTAAAAAATTTCTAATGCTGACATGTTCGATATTCTAAATAGTACAGTTCAATGTGAGTTGAGGTTAAAAATCTCGAACAAATCTACCAAAGTTTTAATACTAAAATTGATCAGTTCCTATGATATTCAGATTGTGTGTAACTTCCAGGATTTGGTAGGTTTACTCTCTCCCGAAGGTATCTTGTATGCTAAAGCAGTGTGAGGAGCAGTATGTGGAAGAATCTGAAAGAGAAAAAATACAAGATAAAAAGTGAGCCGTTGACTCAGTAAGAACATAAGGTGCAATTACAACTGGCAATGAAAGTAATTGACAGCAGTCAAAAATAGTACAAGTGTGAGATTAAGACAATTTGATAATTGAAACAAGAAGTTGATAGCGTATGGTTTCGAACGCGTTAAAGTTTAATACCTTAAAAATAGTTTATTGTATACTAGGTAATCTTTTGAATATCCATATCAATTTCTTTTTTAAATATTATTGAAACTATGGATATTTGTGATAAATTAAACGAGACTAAACTGTAGTAATCAAAGAAAATAGTATAAGTTTTTTGGATAACGTACACTGACCTAGATTATCTCAAACTTTTATAATTTTTTGCTTTTGAAATTATATCTACATTTTTTCATTATCTCATTTTATGGTTACTTGTCTGTCAGATTTTATCTTATTTATTAATTAACTCAGTTTAAAGAGGAAATACAATGAGTTGTTGCTTTTCATGATAATATAGATGGATAAGATTCATAACAAAAAATATATTGTAAATACATCAACGTAATTATACATTAACTATTTGTCTAACTATATACAATCAGGTGGAACTCAGTGGAACAGTAGCAATTCCAGCTTCTCGTCGTGATCGATATGGTATTCGTCGTTTGGTTTCAGAAAATATTGATTCATCTTATGATTTACAAAACAATGACAATAATCACAACAATGACACTAGTAGTGATTTTGTAAATCCAACCGACTTTGTGGAGTCTCATAGTGTACCTTCTCCTAAATTACCATTTCTACCTTCGAGATCTCCTGTTTTATGTAGAAATGATTTATTACAAAAGACTGATCAAATCAATCACAATTCAAATGTCGTTGTTAATAATGGAAAACACAATACAAAGTATAGTACTAATACTACTACTGATAATAATAATAATAATATTAATAATAATAATAGTAATAATAATAATGGTAATAATGATGATGCACGTACTAATGATTTAATATTTGGTCCAATTTCACTTCATAATAATTCGTATGATTCTGGTATAAGTTTTGATGGCCCATCGTTTGGTAATATGTTCAAAGTACAACAAAGTATTATTAGTGATCCTAGTTGTGATCCAGTATGTTCAGATTTGGATCAGTCAAATTCTCATTTGAATTCGAGCGAAAGTTCACAACAGCTCAGTAAAGTAAGTTTTTGGAAACCATTCATTCCAGGAAAAATGATTTCTAAATACTATTTTTATTATTTTATTATTCGTTTACATCTTATTCTCAGATATTAATATCGTAAAAATTTTTTAAAATTTTCATCAATTTTTTTGTTTTCAGCTGTTATGTTAGTCATTCAGTCAGTTAGTAACAACGTGGGACTTCGTACGTACCTACATCAGTTCGAGTTGCCATACCACATTAGCACAGAGATTCGGTTATCGATTCAAATCCCGTAGTGGTAGAGGTAGTGAAAGTATAAGTAGTGATAGGGAACATCAGGGTTTGATGATGTTATTTAAGGAGTATAGTCCAGTAGAATAGATTCGGAAAGAAAATAAAGTACATGAAGAATTCAGAAGATTAGAGTTTGAGAGAACACAAAGAGTGGATGCACCTGCGCCATTGCAAACGATTTTGAACCATGTCATTCAAGATCTCTAACCATCGGTTGCTATCATCTCGCGGTCCCCAACCAGGTAGTCTACACCTACCAACATGGTTCAGTCCACTTGTCAGAGACTTCATGGATTTGTGCCATGTTTTGGTCTGGCAGCCCCTAGATTTCTTCCGACCTACTCATACACCATAAAACATCGCGCGTCGTGGCAGTCGGTGGTCAGGCATGCGCAACACATGTCCCAGCCATCTCAACTGATTAAGTTTCACTACTTCATCAATTGATTTGCCATCCTTACCTAGTACCCGTTTGCTAACAACTGCATCACTTACTCAGTGGTCCCAGGATATACGAGCAATGTTTCAAAGATATCTATGATCAAATACTAGTAACCTACGAATATCCTCTACTCTTACTGGCCATGTTTCACTGCCATAAAGTAGGACGGAACGAACTGCTGCCCAGTAAACACGTCCTTTGGTTGATAGACGGATATCTCGCCTACGCCACAAGTGACGCAAGTTGGCAAAAGCTAGTCGAGCCTTTTGTATCCGTGCTGAGATTTCGTCACACACCAGACCACAAGGGCTGATGAGACTCCCAAGACAAGTGAAGCGGTCGACACGCTCAACTACTTCACTCCCTATCACCAGTTCGAGTGTCGATGCAACTCAATCCTGAAGCAACATTTTGCATTTCGAGGGAGAGAATCGCATCCCGAACATGCCTGCATTGTTTCTTATAATTGTCAGAAGACTCTGTATTTTCTCAGCGTCTTCACCAAATAGAATTATGTCATCGGCATATTCTAAGTCAACAAGTGGATCTCCCGGTAGAAGTTCAACTCCTGGAAATTTAGATGAGGAAAGTGTCATCTCTAAAAGGACGTCAACGACAAAGTTAAACAAGAATGGAGAGAGTGGACAGCCCTGACGAACACCACTTGAGGCAATCAGTTCTGATGACAGTTCGCCATAAGCTCTCACTCGGCCAGTTGTGTTCGAGTCGAGAGCCGTTATAAGGTCAATGTACTTCTTTGGTACTCCTTTCAGAGACAAACACTGCCGTAGGACCTCACGATCAACAGAGTCAAATGCCGCCTTAAGGTCGAGAAATACTACGATTGTGGGGCGTCTGAATGTGTGTCTATGTTCTAGGACCTGACGTAGTGATAATATCTGATCTGTACAACCACGTCCAGGTCGAAATCCAGCCTGGTTTTCTCTAGTCTGCTCTTCACGAGCTTTGGTTAGGCGTCGAAGTATTATTGAAGCTAATATTTTAAACATTATATTAGTCAAACTAATACCTCTGTGATTGTCACAAGAAGACTTTTGTCCTTTCTTATAGACTGGCACAATCAGTGATTGAGACCAGTCAGATGGGATTAGGTCCAGTTCCCAGATTCTACCTAAGACCTCAGTCAATCTCGCTGCTAATACTGGACCGCCATCCTTAAAAATCTCAGGGGTAAACCTGTCAGGGCCTGCTGCTCTCCCACGCTTCAGATTTCCTATAGCTTTTTCAACTTCGTAAAGAGTCGGAGGACTTACATCAACATGCCATTCAGGTCGACTGGGGATCGTGGGAAACCGAAGTGTGGCTGAAGGCCAGTTGAACTGATCCCTAAAGTGTTTTGCCCATCGATCCAATCTCCTGGATTGAGAATGAATAATATGTCCATCTTTCTCTGCGATTGTTTCGCTAACAGTTGGGTTCCTAATACCGGTTTCCTTAACAAGTCTGAACAGTTGCCTGCTGTTACCTATTGCCGCTGCCTTTTCCATCTCTCTTGCTTTCACTACCCACCACTGTTCACGATCATTGCGTAGGCATCTTGTCAGCTTACGCTTAAGCTGATTCCGCTCTTCGTTATGTTCAGAGCCAGATGGAATGAGTTTCCGAGCATCTATCAGTGCGGTAGATGCTGCTGAGACCCAGTGTTTCTCCCCAACCTTATGGTTTACCGTACTTGCAGACATCACTGCTGTTTCTACAACTTTTCGGATGTCATTCCACGCTGCCTCGGGGTGAGCATCACTTACATGGCTGCCTAGCTGTTTTTCTAGTTGTTCCTGAAATATATTCTTAGTTTGACTATCATTAAGTAGGATCCTAAGAGGTTTCCTTGTACCATCTTTCATACGTCCAGTAAGACGTAGACAAATACGCGCTCGCACCAGAGCATGATCTGAGTCTAAGCATATGCTCCAGAATGAGCGACAGTCTTCTATCGAGCCCCTCCATCGGTGGCTCATAGCGATGTGATCTATTTGGGTCCAGCGTTGGGACGAATTCGGGGGTCGCCATGTTAAAAGATGTTTTTCCTTATGCTTAAAGTTAGTGTTTGCAAGAAACAGGCGGTTATCTGAGCATAGCTGCAACAGACGGTCGCCGTTATCTGTTCTTTGAGCCGCGGCATCATAAGATCCACCCAGGTGTCTTTCCCTTTAGCTTAGTTTAGCTACTCGAGCATTAAAGTCACCAGCCACTATTACTACATCAGAGCGCCTAGCTTTTTGGAGAAGGTCGGAAAGCTTTCTGTAAAACTCACCTTTTACATCATCTGAGCTGCAGTCATTGGGAGAGTAGGCAGAGACGTCGAAGAGGCAACGACGAGTGTCCTTATCTTTCTGAGTCCCTACTGTTCCATTTAGTCGGACAGCGCACAAACGACTGTCTACTGCGATCCAGTCTAAGAGAGCTAGTTCTGCCCTAGGACTCAATGCCATACCTACGCTAGCGAGGCCACGGGAAGTAGCATCAGGGCTTCCAGATACACGAAGCGTGAATCGAGTTGGTTCTTTATTTCGACATGGTGAGGTCAAATGAATGACGCTGCTCAGATCCTGTGTGCGCGTTTTGGGGACGCAGCACACATTGATGGAGTGAGATTCTAAAGTCAGCCAAGGAGGCCTGGTGTCCTATTTGGCACAGTGTTTCGACGTTGGAAGCTCCTAAGTATAGTTTGGAGCGTGGTTTCAGGAGACCATGAATAACGTTCCGCGTACTCGAATCGTTTGCACTAGCGGGGCGAGGTGATAAAGGGACGTGAGAAGGGTTGGTCGTGGAGATAAGAGAGTTATTAGGAGGTGTAGGAAGGATTTGAATGTGACCAACTTGGTCTCGTGTGATGTTACGGGTATGAGGGCTGATGTCACTGCCCACACCGTGGAAGGGTATTTTTTGAGGAACCTGAAAAGGAAATCGGATTACTGTTGGTCTTAACGACCAACGAGCCCAAGGGACAACTACTTGAGGCCGGTCGCGCACGGCCTTTTTGTGGGAGGTTTTTAATGTGTTAGCTCCGTTCTTCAAAGGGCCTTACCGCCGGAGACGGAAATCCGTGGGGTAAAGTGAGGTGTGACATTTTTAGGGTCGACCTTTTCTAACCCCTTCCTTCCTTGTGAGAAGGCAGCATCGCTGCAGATGCTGGTTGTCCGAGGGAAACACCTTACTGCTGTCACACCTCTGTACAGTCAGCAGTACGACTTCACCCTCAGGCCTTGAGTTGCTGCTTTTAGTCTTACCGTTCTCCAATCGACCTGCCTGGCATGGTAGAACCTGCAGGAACATGTGTTCCAGCCAATATAGCTCGGTTGGGTCATCACGATAGGAAAGCCCGACCACCACGTCAAGGTAGCAGCTACGGTACATACATTCAGTTAGAGCTGCGCGTTATAATAGCTCAGTTGATCGGTAAGATGCCGTATAACTTGCTCCTTATGTTCCGACTGAATATTTATTAGAAGACAAAACTGTTAACCATATCTGGCAAATAGAATGTAACTCCGCTTAAGGAAACATAAAGTTATCGACATATAATGTGTTTAGGTATTTGAAGTAGAGGTGATGTGTTGAGTGCATTAACGAGACACAGTCTAATAGTTGCGACTAAGTTATTTTGGACATTATCTGTAGTTATAATTCTGTTTTGTTTTTACAAACACTTCTCGGACCACTCTGTCTATATGTTTGAAAACAGCTACTATTTCAGAGCGATGAAGTACTCAGTTTCAGTCAGATTACGGCCTATAATATTTGTCTTTGGGGGAGGGGGTGGAGTTTCGTCACGGGTTCAGAAAGCTCAGTTGGCTTTTTCATCTTGGGTCGCTTATGGTGTAACACGGCATATCTTTAGCAGACAAAAGGGTGTGTATACTGCAAAGCAGTTTTATTCTTTCTACTTTATGGCTGTGTAGCATGACCTTTAAAACTACGTTATTTGTAGATCAATAATATATGATCATACATTCCTACAAGAAATTTCTGGTGTATGCTGAGAACACCATGTCATCAGCACTAAGATTAGATACAGGGCATTACGTAAAGATGTCAAATCGATTGATCATGCAATAAATATTCAACAACTGAGATGGTTGGGACATGTATTATGTACACTTACCCACTTTCTACATAGATGTGATATGTTTACTGGTACAGGAGTTATTTGGAAGAAAGCTAATGGAGACGGAACTAAAACGTGATATCACTCAATGAAATAATTGCCTCAATTGTTGTTTTGGCCTTATTCATAGTAACTAACTGTTGGATTTGAGTTATACATGCTGATACAGA